AGTGTGACGTTATCAGAGTCTGGTTAATTTAAGAGTTTATGTAATTAAGGTAATTAGATAATAATTTTTTTGAATAAATATATAAGAAAAACATAAAAGTGTAGTAGTTTTTTTCTGCTAGCTGCATTTTATGTAAAAGGCCGCGTTTAGTAGGTGTGTCTTCAAGTAGAGACCACGTTTAACATATGCGTCTTTAGGTTAGAGGCCAATGACAATTGTTCTCAAATGTAACAGATCACAACAAAAAAACAAGATAAATTGGGGTTAAGAAAAAAAAGAAAATGCGGGAAGTAGGTGAAATGACGCCTTGATTAGAGTTTTATGTTTTTTGTATCTTTTGATTTGAAATATATTATTGAAATTTCGTTATCGTTTGGAATGCAATATCCTGAGGAGCCCTTCAAAAAAAAAACAACCTATTCTTGTTCAATTAAAGTTTCAAAAATAATTTCTTTTTCGTGTAATCATGTAACCCTTTCTGATTTTGATCTCCCAATTGTTTTTGTCTATACATTTTTAAAGATGTCATGAATTTTAACATCATTTCTTATGTAGGTTTAAAACTTACACATCCATTATCGAAAGAACCCTTTACGTATTTCCTTATGTGGAAACCGGTCAATTTTTCTGAAAATTTGGCATGTTTCTGTACTTAACCTAGTAACCAAAAGTGTAAATAGGCTCAACTTAATCCTATGACTAGTTTTCGATATACAGGGTGTTAAAGTTGAAAATTGCCTTTTTATTTTCAAACCTACGAGCTAGATTGAATTTCTGTTGTATACACACACATTACTACATGTTTTAGTACATACGTATAATTAAAAATATTATTATATACATTTGACTCGGGAAAGTTTAGGGTGTTTGTGGTTTTGTACTTTTATTAAAATAGAATATCTTTCAATAAATAAGCCGCCTTGTATATTGTAAAGTTTAGAGGTACGCATATTTTAGTAATATTACTTTTTCAAAAAAACAATTCATAAGCAAAGGGTTTTGAAGTAATCCTAAAAAAAAATTTCTTTCGTGGTTCTTACTATAAAACACCTTGTATAAGAAATGTGTATTGTGCAATATGTGGTCGACAAAATACCATATCGAGTAGAACTTTTTGAAAAAATGCTTCCCTGACGTTACAATAGAATTAGTGACATTTTCCAAAAAAACTACCGTCACATTTGTGAATTACACTGTAATTATAAATATTTTTAAATTTTATATAATATTACGCAAGTAATAATATATTACAAAAATATTAAACGCATTAAACGTGTATATGCAACAGAAATTCAATCTAGCTCGTAAGTTGGAAAATAAAAATTCCGAAAAATTGGGAAATTTTTTAGTATATCATACAAATACGATAATTATGGTATGTCATGCAGCACTGCTCTCACTGTTGACATGATTCCTTATAATTTTAGTCGAGTGACATGCGCAGCAAGGCCAAATCGTGAGAATCTTGCCTAACAACAAGTTGATTAAGAAAATTTCCTTATTAATCATCTATTATACACTGTTTTTAACGCCAATTGTTACCAAATTCCTTCTGACCTATAGAAAAAAAGAACTTTTAATTATTATTTTTTATACTTTTTCTATAGTAATAGATTTATGTTTGAAACACGTTCTTAAGGTGGTTCTACATTGCTCCTGTTCGTGCTAACGCTCGTGCTCATGATCGCGTTTATGCTGTTTCCGGAACGTTGCTTTATGTTTCTTCTGTTTGTCAAGATCGTTTTATCCGCAAGAAAAAGTGTCCACATTGTAGTTCTGTGTTTGCGCTCTTGCGGTTCCGACATAGATGATCAATTATTATTAACGGCGGCTGCCACTGCGTTTATTATCATTATAAAATGTTTTCTTCAGTCCACTCCATATTGCACTGCGCCTTGCTCGTACGCTCGTCGGCTCGTACTTGACTGAACTTAAAAGCGAACAGTAAAAACAAAAAAAAAATCACCAAACCGCCGTCAACTGTGCTCGCGAGCGCAATATACATCCCTTTGATGTACCGATACCCGACCGAACAGTCAAAACACGTGTTTTGGGTGATTGCAAGCACCAGGAACGCTGCAAACAGCCCAAACACAACGAATATGATTTTTGTTTTATTCGTGCTGTTTGCTTCGTTTGTTGTGTTCATTCGCACTGTTCGCGAGCAATGTGGACCCACCTTTATAAAAATAGCACGTACACAGCATGTAGTGAAATGTAATTTTTCGAAATTCGAGGTATTTAGAACGGGAAATTTCGTATAATGTAAATAGATAAATAGTTATTTAGCAACTTGATATTGTTGTAATGTACAAACCTATAAAATAGATATTTATTAAGATTAAGAATAACAACTTCTTTTTTGGTCACTGTCATCCATTTTTATTGTCATATTTTTTTATGTAACATTTATGAACAATATAAACATTAACAAGTAAATTCAAATATAAATAAATATATAATAGATATTAATAATAGTAGAAATCCACTTTAATTAATAATCAATTCATCTCGTGTCTTCAAATAAGCCGTACCCGTCCGTAGAATGATCCTCATCGTAACTAATAAGGTGGTGGACCGTGACATAACGTTGGTGCTTCGGAAGAATGAAATTTTTTTTCTTCGGTTTCGGTGTCGGTGGTTCACCGCAGTAGCAGCTATTGTGAACGAGCCACACACTTCCCGCCTGTAATGAGGTACGTGCGTTCAGGTGCACAAAAACAAAACGTTCCGCTCCACTAAACCACAGTTTAATATCCCATCCCATCTTATTTCATCTCGAAAATTGTTTATTTTATCTATCAGACGGCCAATCTACATGTTGCACAATTATGAGTACTTTCAAACAAAAACAATAAATCCATAATAAAAAAATATATACAGGGTGTAACTAAATAAGTGTAAAACATTTAAGGGGTGATTCCTCATCGAAAAAAAGATAGGATCTTTCATATAAAGAAACTTCATTGGAGCATCCCTTGTTAAGATACAGCCCCTTAAAGGGGGTACATAAAATTTGTTTAACAATTTTTTTCACAAGCACTAAACAAGTTACAATATTGAAATTAACCTGACATTTTCTACTACCAAAAAGACACTTAGCCAGTAATTTATTTGGTTTACCCCATGGTTGTAAGGGGTGGACAACGCAACCCCTAAAATTTTGTTCCAACGTAACTTTTTATCTTATTATTTGTTGGAGAATTTTTGAATTAAAATTTTCCTAATACGTGGATAGGCAGAGGTGCTCCCAATCATTGGCCTTTAAGATCGCCTGACTTTAATCCGCTGGATTACCACGTTTGGGGACATCTAAAAACAAAAGTATATTCTACTCCCATAAATAGTAGGGAAGAATTAGATGGGAAGGTATAAAACGCGTGCGAAGAAATGAAAAATAATCCCGATGCACTCGTCAACCATATTTTAAAACGAGCAAGAAAATGCATCGAACAAAATGGAGGTCATTTTGAACAACTCTTGTAGTTTTTAGTAGCAATAAGGTTATTACTTAATTTCCAACATTTGTATTTCTTTGTATTATTAGTTGTTATTTTGATTTGTTTATTATGTATTAATTAGTTATTATTTATGTGTTTTTCCTTTAGTTGTAAATGTTATTATTTGTTCTACTGAATGTTAGTCTCTTTCCATATTATTATCCTACATACTATTTATTAAAACTTACATATGGAATAATTTATACAGGGTGCGGTCGAAAAAAAAATAATTCTGATTTTTGGCCCTAAAACCGGACCTGATATTATTTTTTGAAATGGTGTAGATGCATACAATTATAAGTATTGACATATCTGTAGCTTTTAGAACTATACTTCTTTAAATAATTTTAAATATACCGTAATAAAATTAATAAAACTCCGTCCGTTTTCAATTTGTACCTTCAAAATGCTCAAAAATAACAGTTTGGACTTATAATTTCAGTAGTAAAATCGTCTGCGCAAAAATAAAATGTACATTATTGAATTCAGTGTTTTGTGCTCTTTTCAAATATGAAAACAAAAATTTCAAATTCAGACATACAGGATATTGTTTTAAGGATGAACGAATTTATTAATTTTTTGTAAAGACGAACCTGGATTTCGTTACTTGTTTATATTTGGTAAGTTACGGTGAATAAGTACGCCAAATGTCAAAAACATATACAGGGTGGTTAATAAGTTATGAGTCTGGAAAGAAATAGGCCAAATTGGCTATAAAGGTCAAAAGACCCATTAAGTATAGGTTATTTAGAAGCACCTCGGTGGTTTCCATACATGGTTAAAGGGAGTCCCTTTACCAATGAAACACCCTGTATAAATAAATAAAACAAGGATATTCCACTAAAATAAAACACCAACCAACACTTTTAAAAACGTACACAAACAGAGTTGCCAAATGTTCAGTTAAAATATAGTATTTAATGGTTAAAACGATGTATCGTAGTGAACAAAATCTAAAAACACCTAAATTAAACACCGATTCATTGCAGAAAAAAATTAAATGAGAAATTTTATGAATATGATAAAGATCCTTGAATTAACTGTTAAATATTAAGCTCCATATTAAGTCTCTAGAACATTGAAACGTTGGGAACTAATCATTATTATCCTTATCCATTTAGCCGAAAGAGACACTGTGGCAACCTGTGCTGGTACTACGGTTTGTTGTGCATGAGATGGACCTTATTATCATATGACAATTGTGTATGCAAACAAGGCATATCTAATTATCTATCACTGTAGATGATTGAATGGTTAATTTCCTCCATATTGTATTTACGAATCTGTCAAACAGGTAATCGTAGCTTCAATTAAAGTTTTTTTTTAATTTTTATGTCATTTACAAACTAAATATATTGTACATAATAAATAAAACAATGGTAGCTGCTCAACGTAGTTGTAGCAACCTAACAGATATTTATACCTATGTTGTTTATTCGTTTTCAATGTTAGGATATTACAAATAAAACTATTTTAAAACGACTAGTTTAATAATTAAAAATATAATCAATCATGTTTATCACAACCTTAAGCAATTTATAATATCTCATAAAAAATCTAATGACATATACTTTTTGTACATATTCGATGGCTTAATTAATGCAATGTAAGACACATCAAACAACATAAGCTTTGCCTTTATCTATTCGTGCGTCGCTACTCGTACTCATACTCGTTACTTGTCAGTTGTATGAATCAGAAGTACTAAGTCTTTTAAAACGTAAAGTACTCGAAATTTTTCCAATTAATGAGTATTTTGAGTACTTACAGTTCATCAAATTTCTAGAGGTGTTCGACGCCCAGACAGAGAACGCGCTACGTGTGACTAAGATAGCTATTGTACAGTCTGCTAAACAAGTTATTTTAAATTGTTTTTAATATTTTTAGGTAATTAAATTTTAAAAGTGTGGAATAGTTTAGGGATTAAATTGGTCTGATTGGACTTTCTTAGAACGTTTTTAAAAGCAGCTAAAGATAGTATGTAGAATTGAAAATAATTATTATGCCATAAAAGGTGTTTTGGAATTCCTTCAACCTTTTGAAATTGAGTCAGAAAATATAAATTTTATAGGATAGCGGAAAATACCTATAGTTTTTTTGTAGGCCTTTGTAAATCGTGTAAATAATTTATATTTTATTTCTACCTTATTAAGGAAAATGGTACCTATTATTAATAACGGTTGTTTCTGAAACATTACTAAAATTTTCGAAATTTTGTTTTTCTACAAAATAATAAACTATACTATTTAGAAAAAAATTTATTTCTCTTATAATTTTATAAAAAATAACAGGGGAATATTTACATTTCTTGATCTATTAAACAAAACGATAAATTATCTCGACGAATGACACCATGTTCTAGTACGGAAGCTAGCTTTACATTTTTGTTGGTAGTTTCATGGGTTTCATATCAATTTTTTGTAATTGTAGTTTACATGTACATATACCTCTTAACACTTGTTTGCTTTATTAAAAAAGTGTGTTGTTGTGATTTACGTCGAAATAAGTCAAAAACAACTTGAAACCCCATATAAAATCAAAAAGGAGAAACGGAAAAAAATTGAGCCTGTAAATGAACACAACTCAGAAACAAAAATAGCTATCTAATAATAAAAAAATAAAATTTGATTCTTGTGCAGCTTCATCTATATCATTAACTGTTTTTGGTTTTTTAATGGTTTTTCTTGGTGATGAAAATTCCGATATCTCACGGTTATCGATTCTTTTTTTCTCTCCAGAAATGCGGACGACAGTGTTTTTAGATACTCCTGTGGCTGCAGCAACACGATCATTTACATTTTTAAATGGTATTGAAGGTGAATTAAAGTTTCCTTCTCTTCTCATAAACTCTATAACATTGGCTATTATTTCGCGAGATTGACTGTTAATCACTCTTAATTGACTGTTAATCACTCTTAATTTGCTATTAAACTCCATACTTAGGTTCTATTAAACTGTAATGAGCAAAAAACACAAACGAAAATAAAAGAAATGTTTTAGCGAAATTTACATCTGACATTTACGTCTGAATGAAATAGTGAAATACTTGATGCGCAGAGTGTACTTTCATTGCGTAAATCCGTCGGGATGCCTGTCAGTAGCGCTTTCTCTGTCTAGCCGTCGAAAGCCTCTAGAAATTTGATGAACTGTAAGTACAATTTACTCGAGTACTGTCCAGCTCTAGATTTCGCCTTTGGGTGAAATCATTGGTCATGTGATTTTGATTTGTGGTCTTAGGAAGAACGGCTAATAATCAATTGGATTTGGAAATTTTTTCATGTTCGCAGTTGCTGTAGCATGTCTGAATATTAGAAAATAAATATTTGTAACAGAAGAGAACAAACAACATGAAAGTTGGTGTGTACTGTAAATGATAATTTTAAGATTTCTCTATCTAAAATAAATTACTTATCTATTTTGTACATAAATAATGCTTTTTTCCCAAAAATAACAGTTACCCTTCCCCATGAGTATATTCTGAACTGCAACCTGTATCTGTGCTGCACTTAACTACTCAAAAGTTCTGTTAATGTTTGTCCAGGATACTAATTTAATTCAAAAACATATCACATCTTGTTTTATTTTTTGTTTCACAAGCACTGTTATTCTAAAATCTCTTCTGGTTTAAGCCCGACAATTTTTTCTGTGGCTTGCCAAATTTGGTAACAGCGTTTTGTGTTGTTGGCTGATCTGGGCATCAAATTCGGAAAATATTTTCCGAAAAACGTTCCAGTGACGTTGTCGAATTCTTTAGATATTGCCATCTCCACGGCAGCTTGACAAGCCTTATCTGCTGTCTAAAAGTGAAATTAAAAAAAATTATAAAAATATCAAAATTAAAATAAAAAATTATTAATACAAAATTATGAATAGGGAAAGAAATTCGAGAATACGTTCCTCAACACCATGGGGTGAAAATATACCAAAATGAATAAGAAGAAATTGAAGAAATCTCGACTTTTATTATAGCAATAATATACAAATAGATTTACAACATTTTTACCTTAACAAGTTTAAAGAAAATATTACTGAAGAGTTTTATTTCAATGATGTTTTTGAAGATGTTGTCAATATTATCTACAACATCAAATCTGAAGCTCATGGAACAATTTCATCGAATTCAATAATTTTTTTGGCATGTGTTTTTAAGATTTCCTATAGTATAGGAAAACTCAAGTTTTAACACATTCATTTTAATAATATTCGAATCTGGTAACGTTCTTAACAATTTGTAATTATTATATTGGTTGCTCATGAGCAGTTGTGTGAAGCTGCCCCCCCCCCCAAAATTTAAAAATTTTAGTATTAAAAGCAGCTATTTACCATGTTTGACTACCCACTAACTTTATTAAAGCCAAAGCGCCCTAAAGCTTATTTTTCAAAACTTCATGAACCGTAGGATCGACCAATTTTTGACCATGTTTGACCACTCATTAGATTTTTTTTAATCTTGATAAATATAATTTTTAGGGGCGAATTAAATACAAACAAGAGCTCTGGGAAAAAATTCAACTTGGAGAAAATTATCAATTGTCAGGAAGGCAAAATTAGATCCAAAGACGTTTAAAATTATATAATGATGTTTGACCCCCTAAAACAATTCAAAAGACCCCTGAGGGGATCAAAATTCCACTTATTGAATAATACACAATAAAAATCCATAATTGTTTGAGCACCCCCTAAAATATTTATAGTGATCCCAATGGGTCTGAAAATTCGAAAAATACATACATAATTCTAAACCATTACATCTTTATTGTTCCCTTATGTTGATTGACAATTCTTTCAAAGTCAAAATTCCAATAAATTAAACCCTATGTCACGCCGTTCAGTCAAGGTAGTTGCATGCGGAAAAGTACTTTTTCTCGCACTTGTTATATAGTATTATAAAATATACTTACGATACCAAAAAACGAGGGTACTAGATGTATACCAAAGTAATAAATGAACGTTTCCCAGATACCAACAGAGGCTATTCTTGCTCCATTCCATATATTAGTCTTCGCAATTCCCGGATGATACGCGTTCGATGTAATATTCCACTTCCCCAATTTTTCAGCAAATATCCTAGAGGAAGTTACGGTGCAAAATTTTGCGTTTGCGTAGTCGAAAATTCTAAGAAACGATGGTGGATTTTTTATATCATTTGCTGTTACTGTATTTGAAAACATCAAGTGAATAAAAGAAGCTACAGAGGCAGTAAATATTATTCTACCTTGTTTCGATTTCTTTAAGAGATCTGTAACAAAAAATAGAAAAAAAAATTCAAAGTCAATAAAGGGGTGGATTTCTGATTTATTTATAATTATTTTTCTATAAATTTCACAAAATTAACAGTAGTCCAGTAAATGAAGGACTGAAAAGATCGAAAGCTGTAAAAAAATCGTTGATTTGTAGGTCATTGCAGGTGTTTTTAAATGAGAAAATCCTTAACGCGTTCTTGGTACCGGAAGGGGCTGAAAATGGACCCCTAAACTCTGAAAAACGGGTTTTCCGCTAATATCTGTCTAAATATGCCAATTAGAGAATTTTTGTTCAGACAAAAAATAAATATCAGCTCATTCTCTTTAAAAATGATCCCTACCAGTTTTTTCGCAATGCCAATATTTTTTGCAAAATCAAACTTCGAAAAATCCGTAATTTTCATATTGAATAGATATGGTAATTTCTTGCCGAATTTCCGCTCGATGGGGTTGGAAATGCATTGATCTTCATCTTTTGCACTTTAAAATTGCAGATGGCGCCAGCACCTTTGCTCTTCTCGCTAAATTACGGAGTTCGTAAATGAAAATCTCGGAAATAATCGATTATTTGACAATTACTGGCGGATTTCACCTGTTTTTTTTTCTGCAAAGTAGCGCAAAGTAGAGCTATTGTGAGGTTTTTTTCAGAAAATTCGCCTTAGGTGTGCCGTTCTTGAGACGGTTAAAATACCAAAAACTGAACGACAGTTTACTTATTTATTTTATTATTATTCGGTAATCTATATGAACCATCGTCACTTCACTTCCCTTTACTTTTTAAACACTACCAATAGCCGAATAATATTTTTGTTACTTTCAGATCATGTAACTGGTTAATATTGATAAATACCTCCAATTTTGGTCAACTCTGCCATGTTGTACATTTCTTCCCCAGTTTTCATAATATAAGCAACAATTCTCTCAATCTGTGCTGAAATATCTGAGTCTTTGGGCCGTCCCTTCGGTTTAGCCTTACCAGAAGCTTTTTCAGACAATTGATAAAATGCCAGTCGACAGACTTCATGATATCCTGCACCAACAACTGTGAGGTCGATCCCAGAAATTATTTCTAGCGTCGCTTTATACTTTTCTATATCAATATGAGCTGTGATCTGATTTAGAAATGTGGTCTTAAATTCTGTGTTCAAAACAAGTACGATGGTACGCTTCTTTACCAAACTGCTCTTTCTTTTCTCCTTTTCTATCAAAGCAAGTAACTGACGGAACAAACAATTGTTTTTGAAGTCAAGTCACTATGGGAGTGCTTCTTTTGTCTCTTCGGGCTCGTTAAATGGTCTTGAAGAGTGCTTGTCAAACCCGTTGTAAGCGAACTTGCCTTGAGATTTAATAATATAGCGGTCCCTACACTTGTTGTGCATTCGTACAGAGGATTGTTTCTGGAGAAATAGGTGGAAATTATCGCATATCTCCTTGCTCACTCGAATCAAATTTTCTAAACCACGAGTAACATTAACACCCTTCTTACAAAGAAAGCATTCTGGAACGGAATCCGCTTCCATTTCAACAACACCAAGAGCTACCAAAAAATAGATGATCCAACCGTTAGAACAATTACACAAAGTTTTTAAAGTTGAGGCAAAATAGAACAATATTCTTTCTTGTAGACAAGAATAACGTGGAAATTTCTCACTTTAAACACTTCTTTTTTTTATAATTGAATTAATTTAATGAAAAATATTTATTTTATTTTAAATAAATAATTTAAAATAAATAATGAAAAAATATCATCATCACAAAGATTGTACACAAACACATGCAGACAACTATCGCCGCGTGGGTACACGAGGTTAGGTTATATACAATATCATGGATCTCATAGAGGGAGCGTAAAAATGAAGTATATAATTGTAACAACCTTTTTAGAACCAAGAACGGATATGGGGATTGACTTATAACAATGGAAAGGTCAGAATATAAGCTTTACTTTGATCTAGTTATTATTCCTCAAAAAATAAAGAGCGGGGAACAAGAAATAGTTAAACAAAAAAAGGCCGGTTTTCACTCGTGTGATCAATTTTCCTCATTTCTTGAAAATTATTAGACTCTATTAAAAATAAAAAAATATATTCGAAAAGTAGACCATCTAAGCTTTAAAATGATGTGCATTGGAAATCAATATAACAGATCATAAGATTATAATTCGCGCTTGTTCCGAAGATTCTATGGAACTCCGAAATCGGCAAAAACAAGTAAATAAACAAATCAATTTTGTATTAAAACGCAAGAAAAGTATTACAAAAAAAATTCTGAGATCATTCAAGACCCCCCAAGGTCCCATTATAAAGGCAAAATTAGAATAAATGACTATTTTTAAAGATAATATGAATAAATTAATGGAGCAGTCTCTAAATATTGTTGAAAAAAACTTTGACCGCTTTTTTAAATATTTTTGGCAAATACGAACTGACTTCAAGTTACATGGAATTGTAGCTACGGATTTTCCCATTGCGATGAACTTTGAATCATCGAAAAATATCAATTTTTTCTCGAGATATGGAACAATTCGTCCGCCCGCTTACACGTTAATTCATAGAAAGCCGAATTCCTGCAGGTAGAGCAGCAGCTGAAATGAGGGGATTTTTGAGTGCCATTATCTCGAAAACTATTGAATTTTTGAAGGGCCATTTTTGTAGACAATGAGCTGATCTTCATTTTTTGTCTGAACAAAAATTCTCTAATTAGATATTCAGTCAGATATTAGCGGGAAACCCATTTTATTTATTTATTTATTTATTCCAGAAACAAACAGGCATGAGCCTAATTACATGTTCCTATAAATACAGCGAAAATAGAAATCAACAAAAATACATAATATCTAATTAAATATATAAGTGAAATTATAATAAACAAACCTCGCTACTACAAAATTTTAACAAAGTTCGTTAAAGAACAAAACTACTGAAATAATCAGAAATATTCAGGAATAATCAGAGCGTCTGCAAAACCCCACACCAAGGCCACGGAAATCCTACAAGGTTATATCTCTTTAATCGAGCCCAACAATTTTGTTAAGTTCCTTTCTATATGTGCTTATAGCTACATCAAAAATACCGCAAGAAATGCCTTCGGAGTGTACATTAAACAAAAGACAAATTTTTTCTACTGGACCATGATTATCCGCACGAAAAGTTAATTGACGTGGACGAATACCTGCTATTGGAACATTAATTTTTATTTGACTCAATAAATATTGACTGTCCAAATATCCATTTAATAATTTATGTAAAAAGATAAGGTTGATTATAGAGCGTCTATGTTCCAATTTTTCAATTTCAAACTCTTTTCTAATAGGTCCAAATGAAACAAATCCTGGACTTGTATGATACTTTTTAAAGTATAAATATTTGACAAATTTATTTTGAATAGTTTCCAAAATGTGTTTTAAATTTTGTTGTGTAGGGTCCCATACAGTGGATGCATATTCTAATTTACTACGAACGAGAGCAAAAAATACATTTTTAATCGAGTGTGTGTCTGTAAAGTCCCTAGTTGTGCGTTTCAAAAAACCTAACAATTTGTTAGCTTCTTTGGTAATGTTATGGATATGCTCGTCAAATTTGAAATTATTTTGAAAAACTATTCCCAAGTCGGTCATTTTTGACACTCTTTCTAGTGTTGATCCTTGCATTGTGTAGATAAAATTTTGAGGATTACGAATGTTACTGAATGTAATAACCTTGCATTTGGAAAGATTAAAATGTAATTTATTTTCAAATGACCAATCCGAAATTGAGTCTAAGTCATTTTGAAGGTCTAGATAGTCATCTAGGGTGGATATTTTCTTAAAAACTTTCAGATCATCTGCATACATTAGGCAGTCTGATGTAATACGTAGAGGAAGGTCATTAACAAATATTAAGAAAAGTAGAGGACCCAAATTGGAGCCCTGAGGGACCCCAGAGCCTGCGAGGATTGTATGAGAGTAGATAGACTAAGTGACCACGGGACCACATAGGGAATTCAACGTGTAAGAGTGAGAGGTAACCTACGAGATATGGCGTTCACGTAAACGAGGCCATTTTCATCATTTTGCGAAAAGACAAATAACCTACGAGATATGGCGTTCACGTAAACGAGGCCATTTTCATCATTTTGCGAAAAGACAAATAACCTACGAGATATGGCGTTCACGTAAACGAGGCCATTTTCATCATTTTGCGAAAAGACATCTAACCAAACCGCACCATTTTGCCAAAAACGGTCGTTAGACAGCTGCCCGTGGCCCCGGGATTTCGTCGAATAGAATTTTTGCGTAGTGATAAAGCCAAAAGGGCCTTAGCGTATATCTTCACTGCTATTGGTCCGATTCAAACGGGAAAAACGGCATTACGTAGAGATCAGCGTATAGATTAACATACAAGAGAAAAATCATGCGCAATGACAGGACAAAAGGACCTTAGCGTGTATCTCAGCTATCGTTGGTTCGATTTAAATGGGAAAAACGGCATTATGAAGAGATCTTGGTACAGATTACCGTCGAATAGAAAAATCATGCGCAATGACAGGACAAAAGGACCTTAGCGTGTATCTCAGCTATCGTTGGTTCGATCTAAATGAGGAAAAGGGGGCTATGTAGAGAGCGTGATATAGATTAACATACAAGAGAAAAATCATGCGCAATGATAGGACAAAAGGACCTTAGCGTGTATCTCAGCTATCGTTGGTTCGATCTAAATGGGGAAAAGGGGGCTATGTAGAGAGCGTGATATAGATTAACATACAAGAGAAAAATCATGCGCAATGATAGGACAAAAGGACCTTAGCGTGTATCTCAGCTATCGTTGGTTCGATTTAAATGGGAAAAACGGCATTATGAAGAGAGCGTGATATAGATTAAAGTTGAAAAGAAAAAATCATGCGCAATGCCATAAGGACCTTAGCGTATATCTTAGCTATCGTTGGTCCGATTTAAACGGGAAAAAGGGTGTTATGTAGAAAGCGTGATATAGATTAACATACAAGAGAAAAATCATGC